CCCCAAAACCCCAAAACCCCAAAACCCCAAAACCCCAAAACCCCTAAAAAATTTCTGTAATAATTATCTTAAATTTATATATAACCTGAATGACAGCTATCACAATGGAGAAGAAGTATGAAGAGAAGTACTGCTGGATCTGCCACACCAGTCTTGATACTGAACAAGATGAGCTTGAAAGAATCCAGAGCTTGTATTTGGTACATTGGCTTTTATGTTGCATTTTGGACAAGAGGTAGCAGAGCTATCGACTTCTTAACAGAATAGTGAAATCTGGCAAAAAGATTTTTTAGTAGCCTTACTCTTTATTCTTGCTAGTAGAGTTTCTGAGATTAATAATGACGCATTTGATTTACAGTGTTAATATTGAGTTTAGGATACAAAACCCAAAGTTCAGACAAAGACACAGAGGTACTGAAATTGTAATGGTGAGTTATTGAAGATTTCTGAACAATATTAAAGCATTTTTATCCACCGATCTTTTTATATAAACATGCTGACGTATTTTAGGTTCGATGAGTCATGTTCACCAACAATGTCTCAGCAGTTGGCTTTCATCAAAGCACAAAGACTTGCTTAACGACAGTAAGAGAGATTGTTTGACTGTACAGGATGAGCATATCCTTGGAGAAAGCTCCCCCCTCTCAAGTGAAAGATGTGTAAACAGGCTTACAGATATTCTTTCACAAGACAGCTTAAGATCAGAAAGTCTGATTTCACATTGGTCTTCCTTGTGATGGCCCAAATTATTATCTTTGCATTAGATTTATTCACTAATATGGAAGGAACAGTCAATTCTTGAGTGTCTTCGAGCAATTGCACCAATACTTGTGACAACCAGATCACAGTTAGGCTTGCTAAGGATAGAGGAACTCTCAGATCTATTTGGGACGTTTTTAGTATTGGGAAGATATATTACCAGGTAAATATTTCACTATACTAATCTTACATTTTTAAGGAAAAACAACGTAACGATTTCTGTTAGAAAAATATTATTATAAAGCTACAATAATTGCTTTTTGCTTTTCATCAAAATTGCTTTAAGAGATGTTGATGGTTTTTACAACATAAACTCATTGCTAACTTTTATTCTAGGATGGAATAGCCTCAGTGATTTATATCTCAGCAAACTTATTGACATTAATCACCGTAGCAATATTGATCATAGCTGGGATTTATAATGTGTATCATGGTCTTACGAAAACAGTCAAAGTTCACCCAATAAAATCGATTTCTAAGTAATTTTTAATTTCATCCAATAATGATACATTTGAATGGGGTTTTGGGGTTTTGGGGTTTTGGGGTTTTGGGGTTTTGGGGTTTTGGGG